TTATACGTAGGAAGATGCTGTTAGGTCCTGGCTACAAGACACTGGATGCCGCAAGCCTTCATCTTCTTTTCTGTTAAAAAGTTATTGAAAGTACGACCGCGACCACTATTTATTTGGACAGGTAATACTTGAGCAATGCAAATAATTGATTTTGTGCATTACTTCACACTTTCCTTTTTTCTATTTGTAGAACGATTTGTCTAGAATGTTCGGTAACGACGCACAATGACAAAGTATGGAAATTTAAGTGTTATAGATGTTTAGAATTATGCTTCTGTATTTTTTTGTTTAGCTTATGCTTGATAAAGGATTTGGAAAAGAAATTTCGCTAGTATTAATTATCTGTATAAAAAAGGCTGATGGTTGCGAATGGAGTGGAAACTTCAAAGACTACCAGGTATTTTATTATTAAATTCATCATTACATTAGAATCTGATAGCTTTTTTGACTCATTTTAAGGCCCATCTTGATACACATCGTAAAAACAATCAATGCGAATATTGTAAAGCGATCTTGCCATCGAAATATTTGCTTGCTGAACATCAAATATATTCATGTAGAGACGTTGCACAATTATGTTCGTTAGCAAAACATGGATGCCAAGAAAAAGTAAGTAGTAGATAATATTATCTGCTTAAATATGCAATCTGTGTGATAACATCCTTAAATCAAGACATATGAGAAGATGACAGTTTACTTACGTACATGCAGCTTCCTTAGATACAATTTCAAACCATTTCGAATAATGACTATATCTTTGCTTTACAGATTCCACGATCAGATATAAATAGGCATTATTTAACTGAACAGCATCAGATAAGTATTCTTTTGTGTCTTCAACGTCTTATGCAATTGATTTAATCACGACCGGATGCTAACAATCTCACAAGTGCAGTGACTCCTGAAATATTCGATCTATCATCATTATTATCAATTACTGATTCTTCTTCATCAACCGTAACAGCTACCAACAATTATTATTCTCGACTGCAGCAAACGTATGAGACGCTGACAGCATTAACGGCAGACATACAAACATTAAGTGAAGACTCGATTCGTTTAAATATAGAATTATTAAGTCATAAAAATGTCTTGGGATTGTTTCATAATGGAACAAATCAACTCAAACAGTCAATAGTGGAGATAGACTCATATAGTAGAGGTATCTCATGGAATCAGGAAATGTTACAACAGGAAATATCAAGCGTAAAACAGAACGTTGAAGATTTACAGTCAATATCCTATGATGGAACTCTAACATGGAAGATAAGTAATGTCTCAGAGAAAATGGCCGATGCTGAATCGGAGAGACAAACAAGTATCTACTCACCACATTTTTACTCATCGCCAACTGGTTATAAAATGTGTATTCGACTTTATTTACATGGTGATGATAATGCCCGACACACACATATGTCTCTCTTGTTTCTCCTAATGCGTGGTAAATTTGATGCTATCCTTAGATGGCCCTTCAATTTCAAGGTGACCTTTTGCTTGTTTGATCAGTCAGGACAACAGAAACATATTATCGATTCTTTCCGACCCGATATAAAGTCGAATAGTTTTCAGCGTCCTAAGAGTGAAATAAACATTGCTAGCGGTATACCGAAATTCTTTCCGTTACCAATGATATTGCAAGACAATAATGGTTATATCAGAGATGATACTATGTACATTAAATGTTTGATTGATTTTGGTGACATATCAAAAATAATTCTTCCGTATGCCCTCAGTTTAAATCCCGCATTACCTCATCATGTTCAAAGAAATATAATACAAATTGATTTTGACAAATCAACCCACCCATGGTTGCAACTTCAACAACAGCAGCAATTAATACCGGCTACTACCAGCGACAGCAGCAATACGTTCCAACTCTTTAACAATGGCAAAACTGCCAGACAGTCAGCGGACATAGAAAAAAACCAATCAACACCTTTTGAGAATATTTGCTTAAAAATTTCTTCACCGAATGCCGTTGTGTTCTCACTTCATTCTTCTCATCCCACGACACAACCAACTGTCGCTACAACAATATCGGACTCCTCTGATTCTGATGAATTTTGTACCGAGTGGGGCGATTAAAGTTAGTGGGCCGATTTCACGTCTTATCACCTTTGAATCATTTACATTAGGCCTGATATGAAGTTCTAAAAGTTTGTTGTTGGACAGCTTGTAGCCAGTTTTGATAATGCTTAAACCTCGATATCGATACACTTTTCACGAAATTCTAAGAAGGTAAAAAATTATAACAAGTAACGCGCACCTTCGATTCACTAATCCTTGATTGAAAAATTGTGGTGCTAACGAACCCGACATGTGGGGTGCGTGAAATTCACAACTTATAGAAAATAATTTCCGTTTTCTTCAGTATGGTTCAATCGAGTTATCTACGTAAAGCTGATTTTCATATGTCTAGAAGTCATTTTCGTGTGAAAATTTTTTGATTTATATAATAATAATGATAATAGTCCAAAATGAGGAAAATATTGGTATTACTACTTCCGAAACTTCAGAACTACTTTTCTCTAGTTCCCATTAGAAGGCACAAAAAGCTAACTATGGTATCTAAGAAACAAATATACTCTCAAAATTTGCGAAGAACGAGCCACCAGAAAAGCACAAATCGAGAATAAGCGTTAAAACTGATCATTCCGATCAACGTCACTCAAAAATCACTGGCACTTTTCTGCACTTCTTCCTTCCTTCCGAACCGCAGAAAGACTTACTCTGAAACGATCTTCAAAACAAACAATAAACAATGTCATTGAATTTTATTCGAAGAATAAAATCACAAACACATTAAAAGAGAAAAATTAACTTCCTCAGTGTGTACAAACAAACACTATATGTAAACGAAGAAAGACTTTAAAAATGATGACTTATCCTCCTGGATCCAGTAGTAGTTCTTTTGACATCCTGATATTATTAAAGATTCTTTAATGAGTAATCGATAACAATCTCCGTCAGTTAATAAAATTGTTAGTCAAAATTAAATAGTACCATTCATTTAGTTCCTCTTTTCGTATATCCTAATTGATCATAAATACATCATTTTTATCTTATTTGTGAGACATATATTAGTCATTTTTATCTCATTCGAATGGTATAATTACGATCGTAAAATGAGACCGTCGGCTGAATCAGTTGTAGAAGTCGTTTTACCGTCATAATTACAGCATTAGAACGATGTAAAAATGGTCAAATATGAACAATTAACGACGTAAAAATGAGGTACTTATGATCTTTAAAAAGCAGCGCCTTTATCGTCAAACGTATTTCTTTATATCGACTTTTATCGTAGTTTTGACATGCCCATGAGTTTTATTGATTTGATTCCACTTTTCAGCCACGTCTAATTTTCTACGCTAGTGCATGACATTCTTCCTTATAATACTACGCTAGTTTTTAAGTGTGTGAGTTAAAAATACAATACTATACTATACTATACTGTCCGTTTCAAAATACAATGCCCCTGACTATTTTTGGAATATCTTGAGAATGGAATGTGTTAGAGTGTTCGGGCCTTCACCATTCAAAAGAAGAGACTTTGAGACACACTTTTATAATAGATGTTAATTCCAAAATACTTTTTCTAAGTAGGTTTTCGAGGAGATCTTTGAAAAACCAACTCATAGCTGAAAAACTTCAGGTGCAAATACTTTCGATTTTCTTCTTGGACAGATAATCCAAAGTGTCCTCTTCAAAATGAGGTCAAGTGAGAACTTAATTTCCAGTGGTTCGAGCGTGATATCCGATTTCCTTGGAAAGTTAGGACTGGTATTAAGTGGCTTCAGATAGTCTTGAAATCAAATGGAACATACGTAATCAACCACACTGGATCTGATGCCAATGTTTATCTTGCAAAAAAAAATCAAAAACAGGGTGAAAAACAAGTTTTGTCCAAACTGAAGTTTTTACGCTCTTTACTTAATATTAAAAAATTCGCAATTCACTCGAAAAACATCAGAACCAGTTGGGAACTTTAGAATGTACAGTATTTACGCTGTTCTATATCCTACTTATACGAAATCCACAAAAACTAATTTACAAAACCCAGTAGTTGTTCGGAAGGGCTTCCAGAAAACTGTTGATCGAAATGGTGCCTTTCCAACTTTTTCGATCATACATAACCATGTTAAATGAATACATCTAGCCATATCCTGAAGTTTCCAACTTGTTTTGCAAGATAAACATTGGCATCAGATCCAGTGTGGTT